GGAACCTGGACAAAGATTTGTCTAATTCCCTCTTTTATCCTAAACAATGGTTTCCTCTAAATGTAGTTCTTGGTATTTCGAAGTTATTAACAATGATTCCTAACAGATAATTTTTCTCAAGTAAGCTTTTTCTTAGCCTTTCTAACTTATGTTATTTATGTTTTACGTCCGCTGGACGTAAACTTCTTATTATCATTGATTTAATTACTCCTACTTTAACATCCTAAGTATGATTCGAGAAGAAATTAAGAATGAAACTCGCATTTGTGGGTTTCTTATACTCATCCATATCCAATTTATCTCCTTTAATAACTATGACATCTAAAAAGGGTAACTTAATGTTCTTTTCTAATTCCATAGTGAATTTATTTGTCCTATCCAGTCTTTTCACTAACCTAAGGAAGTCTTCCCTCCCATCCGCCTTTTAAAGTGAAATGAAAGGTATGCTAGCATGTTATAGTATAGCGTATCGATAGGTGGCCAAGGGAAATCCGCCTCGTATTTTGGTGGAACCTACCTTCCAATCTTTTCATCAGACTTTTACTCGTAATAGAAGTGAACCCAACAGCAATCCGAGTCCTCTTAGTTCTCTTAACGTGATGTAAGGACTGCTGGTCGAATTTCTTACACTGCAACAAATAAAAGGCCTCATGACCTCGTACGCTACAACACTACTTTACACAAAACAAGTAGACTTCGACATTATCACTAGCTATCAAATAATATCTCTAATCACATTAGGGGGTTTCATAACCTGCCTGTGCCCCACTTGCACACGCGGTTCTTTGGCGAAGTGATAATATTACCGCTTGAAACGTACATTCCGGTTTCGAGTCCCGTTCGAATGAGTGATTACGCCCAGATGAGGTAAAAACTGCTGTCCTTTCCGGACGATAAAGCTTTTTGGGAGGCAGGGCTAAATGAAAGTCTCCCATATTTTGAGGCCCTTCAATCATTTAATTGTTCGTAATTTAACTATCAACCCCTACACATCAGCTCAATTTACTCAAGCTGATCTGCGTTCTTATTTAAAATCTACTAATAGGTTCAGAAACTACTCGCTTGGTAGATAGTCTTGGCTCACCAAGCGTCCAGACAATGCAATTAATACTTTGGTGACCGAAATAAATTGAAGACAAGATAAAGCAGGAGCAATGATACTCCTGGCAGAGTAGCATTATGCCCCTGTAGATGTGCTAATAACGCCGGCCATTCGTTAGGCATTTCTTCAACATGACATGTACAAGAATCACACACAGGGGTCAGCACTAATTCGGGTTTGAGCAATAACATTTTATTCCGCCGACCATCGGGTTCGCTATCTTAAATCACTAAACATCTGCCCTCGTGCTATAGTTGTAATATGTAAAGCTTGTTTGTTTGGGTATGCATGCATATGTCTGTATTTTATCGAGAAAAATCAAAATGATTCACACCTGGTCTCGGCCAAGTGAATTCACACAACTCAATCGGTCAGCACCGCCAATCACGACTGGCATAGCTGCAGTTATCACGGCGTACCGATTTGGAAAGTTGGAGATTTCATAATATCGGACGGTATTTATGAGGTCGAGGTGTGTTCTGTATGTCTTGTTGACCTGACCCAGCGCATTAGGCATATTCTTCTTTAGCAGATGCCTCATCTGGTCACTGGCTCTCTGCTGACTTTTATCTTTGCCTAAATGTTGCCTTTTTTCATAGACCCTTCACTTTTCAGTTCAGAAGCTAGCCACATTACTAGCTATCCACTCAAGGGGGCTAATTCATGGGAAGTGGACTGTCTCATTTCTAGTTTGGCATTTAGGAGAGTTTATTCGCCCTATTTCGTTCAAGTTGAGGAAGGAATTATAGTTGAATTTTCCTACAATTGATAGATCTCACGCTTCCATTAAAGTTCACATAGTCTTGCTTTGCGAAGGGTATTTTCATTCAGGCTGGACTGGATTGCATCAACACTTTTAGCGAGACCCGAATCCGATTTATGGTAATGTAGACAATAGTCTTGGCGTGTTGACCATTATGTCACGCTGTCATGAAAGTCCTTGGGTCACAGGGCAGACGTAAATTCCAAGATTACTTAGGTTTTTCTCATATCACATTTTTGTGGTCGGATTGTTGATAAAATACAGTTGCATTTGTTATTACACTCGACTAGGAGTGTTGATGGGATCTAGGCGAGATCGAAACTTCAACCCACCCTGGATGAGCATACCTTTTGGGAAGCAAGGCTATGTGAAGTTTAATGGAAGTGTGAGCTCTATTCATAG